TCACTCAAATTATTTGTATGTTTCTACTACATCTACAGGTAGTTATCACTTTCAGTTAGCATATTTTTTACGTGTTGAGAAGATTTGGGCAATCTGAGAATATTCCAAATCGATATTGGTAAGATTCCCTTTCTACAGTGTGGTTTGATACCAAAAATAGCTGAAATTAATTTCCATATTCACCCAGTCCTCATTTATTCAATATAATTTGTTGTTGGCTTTATACCTTGCATACGAGTTTGTGAATCGTATGGATTGAGGAGAGAGAGACTTATCACTCTAACATTAATCGAAAATGCTATGCTTAACATAATATATTTTGATATCAAAAACTTGTTAACTAATAAAACTATTATTTTTTTTTCGTCAGATGATTTTAGATGAATATCCAAGGATTAGAGATTTTAACCGCAAGGTTATTCACTTGATTAGGCATCGCTTATACATATTTTGTGACTTTAAACTTGGGTCTACTTTCCTGTATTGGTCATATGGACTGAAATTTTTTCTCTGTATTTTAATTGAAATACCTAGGGCGAACAGATCATTTTTCAAAAATTTCAATTTATTCTTAATTTAATTCACACAATCTAAAATTGAAATGTCTACAAATAAAACGTGTAAAAACAAAGGTAAATGAAACGGATTCGGCCACCGTTTGGAATTTGCAAGTATAAAATATTCAACGATTTAAAAAATTAAATATTCTTTTCCTAACTCACAAGTAATTCATAAAACATAATGCAATCTTTTTAACTAAAACAAGATAAAAAGTCACCTTCGGCTGCATGGAAGCTATAATATCCTACTTGGATGCATTTTTGTAGCGTTAACTCTGAAAAAGTTACCGGAAACCGCTTTTCATTCAACAGAAAAAAATTTGCCGGTCATCATTTCCTTTATTTGGTTTTGGGTTCAGAGTATAGCTAGTGATATCTACTTTTTTATTTTGCGCCGTGCTATGAAAAATAATTTCTGTCAATTTGATTGACTAAAATCTAAGGAATTGCTACGCACAAACTAATCACATAATTATTGACTTCGTGTTTTATTAATATATAATATCACATATGAAGGGTATAACTATTCCTTCATACAATTATCGAGCCTATTTGGCAAGTAAACCATGTGTCCATCAATGCATTTGTAAATATTATATTTTGAGTGCTTCGCACAGAAAATTTTTTATTTTTGGATTACGAACGAAAACATTTTTTGTATAGTACTTAATGTCATTATCTGTCCTACAGCTATGCTAAATATACATTATTTTTTTTATTTTGACACACATCAATATGTGACCCGGTTATTGATTTCTTCTGTTTTTCTCTGCGACTAAAATTAATAAATCACCGATTTCAAACATAAATACGTATACATATACATATACTTTGAGATACATTTTTTTAGTATTTTTAGTGTTCAACAAAAACATTTTGTTAAGAAATCGTTCCAAATTTCTATGTACGTAATTTATGTGTATTTGTTATGCGAGTAAAAATTGTTTAAGTCCAAAGCGTTAAATGACTCAAGAACAGTAAGGAAAGCCTACACTTCATAAGGATGACACCGGAATTACTTTGAATTATTTTCTCGCTGTATTTTGAGACAAACACAATCATACTTGCCCGAAATCATATCAAAAATTAATTTCAAAATGTACATACATATGTATTAATTCACAAGTTTCAACTTGTTTCTAAAAAAATTTATCCAAGTCATATTTACAATTCTGGCCAATCTAAGCTTGAGTTTGGGACAAAGTTATATACATAAAAATGCTAAAAATCGTAGACCAAAATATATCAATAAATATGGGTCCAATCTGTGAGATAGTCAGGGAAAGTGAAAGTGAGAGAACATCTTTGTCTGGTAATAATATGTCGTGATAACAAAAATAGATAAAATCCGATTGAAAAAAAACTTAGTATAAGTACATTTACTATCAGTCATAAAAGTACACTCAATTTTCTATTATACTATCTAACTATAGTTTAGTGCCGAAAATTTGTGAAATCGGTCTACGAATTACTCAAGTTCCTAAATACCTCATATAATGACTTTCGTTTTTCTAGCAGACCTTATGTCGAATATGTCGGTTAGTGTCTGAGTTATATTCATTAAATTGCTAGATTACAGATCGCGCTTATATTTGGCATAGTAATTAAGGGCCGTCCCACCAACTTAGCAATTTTTTTGTTTGTTTTTTTTTTTTTTTGAAATATCATGTACCTTGGGAATTTATTTACAATTTTCGTGTGCTTTTAAAAAAATATTATTTTCGCTTGGTACTCTGAAAAATAGCGTCTTAAAAACCTCTAAACAAGTCTCTCCAAATATTAAAGTTTTCTATTCTTTTTTCTTATTATCAAATAGAAGAATTCAAAGTTCGCTTCCAACTGCGTGAAAAAATAGGTTTCATAGATTTGGCAATAAAATGAGAATTAAATTGACAAATAAATTTCCCACAAAACTATTAGTTTTCCGTTTTATAATGATTTTTTTCCATTTCAATAAGTTATACACTTATAAGAAATAAAAATCGGCTTAAAATAATCAAACTTCAACAGTTAATATCTTTTGACCATAAATCGTAACGGACCTTTTTCTATAACCTAAGACAAAATCTATTAAACGAAATATTTTAAAGTACTTTTTTAAAGTAGTTGGAAACGAGATTTGAATTTTTTATCTGATGATATGATATAATTAGAGTTTAAAAAACTAAAATAAGCTTGTTTACGTAGTCGTCTTGTTATATGCGAAGTAAACGTAGTTTTTGTGCAATTTCGACCATGACTGCGTAACCTCACTTTTCAAATTTGGTTGCAATTGGTCGGGTAGTTACCTATTGTTAAATTTTTACACCTTCTCCTGTAAGGCTCTTCCTCGCAATCGTGGTTGTGGTTTTATGATTGCTTCACATTCATCAAGTGAGTTATATCACTTTCTATATTTTTCAGCATGACCGTTATGTGGGGAGTAGGTTGGGTTACTATCTGATTTTATCCATTTTTTCAGCGTATGAAGAGATGCTAAGGAGACTTCTTTAGAGCAATTTTGGTTGATTCCGATCGTTCGGTTTGTATGGCAGCTATATGCTAGTGAGCCGATCTGAACTATTTCTTCCGATATTACATTATTTCTATGAACAATAACTCATACCAAATTTCGTGAAGATATCAAATGAGGAACTTTCCCATACAAGCCTTGATTCCGATCGTTCGGTTTGTGTAGCAGCTGTATGCTATAGTTAACCGATCTGAACAATTTCTTCGGATATGAAATTTTTGCTTTAGAAAATAACCTGTACCAAATTTCGTGAAGATACATTGGCAAATGTGAAAGTTTTCCATATATGAACTTGATTCCGATCTTCAGTTTGTACGTCATAGTGGTCCGATATCGGCAAATGAGCAGCTTCTTGAAGAGAAAATGGGGTTTGCAAAATTTCAAAACGATATCTTAAAAACTGAGAGACAAACAGACGGACAGACAGACGAACATGGCTAAATCGACCCAGCTCAACATACTGATCATTTATGTATATACTTTATAGAGTCTCCGACGCTTCCTTCAGGGCGTTACAAACTTCGTGACAAACTTAATATACCCTGTTCAGGGTATAAAAATGAAAGCTTCAAAAATTGCACATATTGGCTATTTCTGAACGATTACTTTTTGCATTGGACAAAATCTGATTATACTAGTAATCACGAACGGTACAGAGGCATGGACAAAAATATCATCTGATGATTCGGCCTTAGGAGTATTCGAGAGAGAGGTTTTGAGGAAGATTTATGGTCCTCTGAGCATTGGCAACGGCGAGTACCGCACTCGATGAAACGGTGAGCTGTATGAGATTACATTGACATAGTTCAGCGAACCAAGAGACAGCCGCTGCGCCAGCTACGTCATGTTTTCCGAAAGAGAAAACTCCAATTTTGAAGGTTTTCGATTCAGTACCCGCCAATGGAAGTAGTGGAAGAGGAAGTCCTCTGCTCCGTTGGAGAGATCAGGTGGAGAAGGACCTGCACTTGGCGTATCGAATTAGCGACAAATTGCGAAAAGATGAAACGACTATTCATATCTGTATTAGCAGGATTTCCAATTCTCTTGATAATAATATCACAAAAAGATTTCAAATTTGAGTTATTTAAACTAATTTTTATATATGTAAATATCTCTTTCATGTACTAAAATATACTAATGAACCTGAGTGAGTCTATGACTTGTACTAAAGGTTAAAAAGATACCAAATTTAATTGTATTCCCTTCACGGTTTCATAGATTAATGCGATTTGTGTTAATTATCAATATTCTCTTCTTTACTTGTTCTATTAGATATAAAATAAATATTTCTTTTAAAATATATTTCCTTGTTTTAGTCATACATTAGTGGCTTCTGTTGACTAGATACATTAATATATTGTTTTGTGTAATTGACTTGGAAGACATAGAACGTCCTCCGGATACATTCATAAGCAAAGACATTGGATGATATGGGAATCCTGAAGGTTAAAAACTATTTCGTAAAATTTGTCTCACCCATCTTATAGCCTAGACTTTTCACCTTTTGACTATAATTTATCCCGGTCGAAACAGAACGCCCTCATTGAAGAACAGGATATCAAAAATTGGCTTGATTCATTCTTCGGCTCCAAGTCAAAGCAGTTCTTTTAGGATGAAATCCACAAATTGTCAGGAAGATGCGAAAATGATCCATGGTCAATAGAGCAATACTTTAAATACCTACCCTACCCTTAACTATTGTATAGGGTTTTCTTAAATAAAGGTTCAAATTAACCAAAAAAAACCAAAAAAAAAAAGGAATATAGTTATATACCCAACGACTTTATGCTCAAGGGGATCCTGTATAAAATACTACTGCTATTTACAAACTCGGAAGCAGTGCAGGAAACAGAAAATAAAGATACAAAAATTAAGAAAGCTGACATAATGGAATTAAAGTTGAGAAAGTAAAAGTAAATGAATCTCACCTGTTAAGCCATCCTTCTGCTGTCCATCGAATTTTCTGGTGATGCGTATACTTTTATTTACTATTTATTTTGCTGGGAACAAATATTCGCGTGGGCGTATGATGACACCCAAATGTGTTTCGTACGCACACACGTACTTATGTATGCATTTAGTTACTAGGCGGAGTTGTACCTCAACCGTAACTATCGCTAGTATATTCGTTGTCGTGGAGTTAACGTTTTGTTTATGCGCTCTCTCAACTTTGGCATGCATGAATTATTCAGTATTTGCATTTTTGTAAACTCATTGAATTATTCCTGCAACTACAACGATAACTGTAGTGTTTTTATTCAAATGTGGCGCCCGCTGTTATCACCAAATTCACAAGCATATGTCAGTTTATAATGTGCGCTTTGTATTGTCATGTACGTGAATTAATGTATTCATACATACATACATACATATTTATGCACGTATGTACATATAAATATCTTTAGAGTTGTGGAAAAGTGGATCAGCATTTCACTCGTAATTGCTCAGAGCTCGTTTCGGCACATGCACTTATGCATAACCAGATACACGTGCATATCTACTATACAGTGAGCCACAAAAGTCTTCATTAAAAATATTATTTTTACGTTTTAATATTTTAAAGAGAATTTTGCGATACTGTTCAAATTTAGTGCAACACGTGTGGTTGCTAATTTCATGCTTTACTCATATTTATAGTTAACAGTGCTTGAAAGCTTTTTGACCGAGACTTTTTTGCTTCGTGCATTCAGTTCACATTTCCCCATTGAGGTGACCAGTTTAATAGCGGGATTCTGTAACCAGTCTCTAGTCTCTATTTGAGACATTTTGAGGTCAAGTCTCAATTTGTGACTAGTTACAATTCACTAAACAGTCTCTAGCGTTAGTCTCGAAAATATTGCCTCGAATTTAAGACCTGATAGTTAGCAGGTCACAAAACTAAACTCTTGTCTGCCACTTTGAATATACTGAATAGAGATCATTCAAAGATATGAATCGCTTGTCGTTTTTTATATTTTGTAAGCAACTCAAACACGAAAAGGTTAAAAATTAATCAATTTTTCATAAATTTCGTAAATATCAACATATGTATACTTTTATTTTTATTTATAATTACGCTTTTAGACTATGTTATTGAAAATTTTATATTTGTTATCGACATATTTATTTTCATTCAAGTGCAAAAGCATCTCTGAATAATGAAATGTAATAGATTTTGTGACTGAAACTTACAGAATATCAAAATCGTCTCAAGTCTCAAAAATTGTCTCTAACTTAAAATCTCAGTTTTAGTGACTTGAGACTGTACAGAATTGTACGGTAAGTTGTTGTTTTTTTGAAATGTTTTTTGCTGAGTCAGATTAAATAATTTATAACACACATATCTAGTTTTAAATGAATAATTAATAGAACTTTCGATTGGGCGAAGTGACGAAAATTGTTTGTTTGCCGAAAAATATTGAGCGCATATTTAGAAAAAACTCAGTTTTTAATTTCATTTCCTTGAAACGCTTAATATTGTCGGAAGCCGTAGAAAATGCGTTAGAAATGAATAAATGTACTTATATCAATGTCTGCAACGAAACGAAACTATCCCCTCTAGAAGAAGACTTAAAGAAACCAGAACGAAAGCAAAAACTAAAATTAAGTAACCATTGCTGACAGTTGTGCACATACATATCTGCATGCTTAAGCGTTGCTATACAACATCTTAATGATCCACTGAGACCAATAAAGAGTAAATCGTTTGGGATCTGATGGGAGAGTGTGGTTTTGGTGCGACAAAAATGTTCACGCAAAGTTGAACAAACGTGAAAAGTTGGTAGTGGCCCTTTTATGCTACATACTTGTATATTATGGGTTGTATTTTTTATATTAAATTCTAACGGTTCTTATCAACCGAATCTAGAAAAATCAAGCGACTCGCTTCAAGCCAGATTATGATCCTAAACATAAGACAAAATGAACACTGAAATGGCTCGAGGGTAAGAAAATCGCATAAATAGATTGCCCAACATAGTAGGTTTTAGGGTGGTTTAATTGAAAGTATGCCTCAGACGACAAATCTTATTATTAAAGCTAAGGACGGGCATATATTGTGTTTATCAAAGTATTTTTTAGCTCGGTTAGCTAAAATATATGAATTATTTTATGTCTCTGCTAATACTATTTCGTAATTTCCTGTTAAAAGTGAAATAAATACAAACAAAAAGTAAAATCTACGTTTATATGAATAATTTTGTGGATCACTGTACGTGTGTTTCTGATGTCTATTTCGATGTCAGCACGCCTCAACAGTCATCGATCGAAACCGCTGTTGTGGCCACATTCTCCGCCCGCTCTACTCCATCCGATTCGAGTTTTTGCTCGGCAATGTCAGGGTAAACGATAATTAATGCGTCAATGCAAATGGAAATAAGGAACAAATTCAGTCACGCACATCCAAACTCAATTTCGACTCGAAGATTCATGTGGATATTTGCTCTGTATGTGGACAAGCATATGTGCGTGAGGATTGGATAAAATTCAGCAGTATCCAATAACTACGCATCAACAGACCGAATGGGATTCACATCCGAATATACCTAATCTTACATTATATACATGTGTACGTACGTAATTGCACTTCCAAACTTTCCAACACATACATATATGGTACACATCTAAATAAATCGAATCAAATTAAGATCTGTTCGCAACATGAGTGTTAAGGTGACAGTATGCAGAATAGAATGATAGATAACTATAGTTCCAATAAAATAAATTTTCCACTCTCACAATATTTTGCTACAGAGTATAACAATTGTGCTCAGCTAGCGGCTATTTGTAACACCTAAGGCTAATCAAGATAGATATATATGTTGAAATCCGAGTGACTGTCTTTCCGTCCGTGCAGCCTGTAAGATACCTTAATGAAGCCGTGAACACGTTTTCTTTGAAAACAGAAGGTCTTTGAACAGAAGGTCATTACCGAAGATGGAGATATAAAGTGCTACAACCGCGCCACACATTAAGATGAGATATTATTTGGTATAGTGAATTACAGTAGTGAGGTCAACTCTGGATTGAACTTCTTTAAAAATTGGGCGTTGCCGTGTTGCCTAGATATATTTTATATCTTACAAAGCACTACTGTTACGTCAACCAAATTTTGTCAAGACAAACATTTTCAACGCTTCCTCTTACAGTGCGAAAATAAGTGAAATCGGATAATACCTCTGCCCACTTCTTATATATTGGTTCTGTTGAAAAGTACTAAAAGTGCAATAACTCGCAAAATTAATAAAGGGTATATCACGACACAAAAATTACCGAATTCGCACCATTACTTTTCTAGGCCCATATACCGAATATGAGGACCCCAGTGTCTATCTCTGAACTTTTACCAAAAGTATTGGTAAATTTTTTAGTATTAAAATTTGGAGAGAATCTTTTTATGATAACAGCATGCACTTGTATCAAAGAATGAGTAAGAACAAGCCAATACTTCCTTTAGCCTCTATTTACCTTATGGACTTTTTATCTTATATGTTGTTCAATATGTGACGTATCTTGGTAGAACTCAATGAGCATCTTTATCTGTAAAAATAGGTAAAATCGGGTCAATTCCCGTAATGCCAAATATTAATGCCATCAATTCAGAATGCGCCTGGAGAGGGCCGATATAGCGATTTCCGTCTGAAACTTATTGATTTTATGACCTAAAAACACGTGCGCTAATAAGATACCAATATAATTCAATAATATACATACATATATTGAAACAGACTTTAATATAAACTACTGTAATAGCCGAAAATATTTCACCACTTTTGATCTTTGCAAGTTCTGTTATTTTAAACAAATCAGACTAAAGTTGGCGAAGAAAACTATATTCAAATTTGGTGGGAATATATATAATTCACGCAATTTTGAAGATATAAGAACAATGAAAATATAAAAACATAACTAGTATTCTTAGTATGTATTAACTCTGAAACTGAATAGTTGCAGTTCTTCTTTTTGTTGATTTTTAATTATGTATATCTTTTTAAACAATTGAATTGTAGTGGAGAAATGCGTAATTTATACGCAATCTTTTCTTGCAAATCTGCATGCTATTTATTATAACAAATTTCTATAATTAAGCAACAGCCAGCTAAATCAGGAGAATACGGTGGTTATGGCATGATGCTGGGTGAAAATTTGGCGGAAAACTCACGAAGAATAAATTCAGGATGCGACGGTGCATTATCGTGCCCATAATTCAGACTTCTTTTTGACATCCTTTGACGTGGAGTTTTCATCTTCGGCTCAGTTTTGCCAAGATAATCGGTCGATTGATCTTCTGACTAACTTTTCAAAACATCCTGATAATCGGAAAGCGTTAACGCGACGCTGTTTTCCGAAAAAATTTAGTGATTTCGGAATCAATCGTAAGTTTTTTTATGCTCAAATAATCTTTCGAAATGGCTTTACTGGTTCTTTCGATAGTCAAACGATACCAATTAGATCTCTTACACATATTCGTTGATTGCTTAGCACTAATTCCTTTATTTTATTGACATATTGGTCATCGGTTAATGCTGATGGCCATCCTGCTTGCGACAAACAATTATCACTGAAAACCTTTTAAAACATTCTGAATGTTTCGACACCAGAAATTTTTCGAACACAAATGGAGTTTCTTTGTTGAATAATTTCACTCATCGTAAAAATCACCAAGTCTACGCTATATACATACAAACGTATACCAACCTAAAAAAGAAAATATTTTGACGAATTTTTGCGAGAAATTCATGGTTATAGAGTTGAGTACTTGAATTTCCATTATACCTCGGAATTTTGCATTTTTTCTTTTGTTTTTCATCACATTAGTGCCCAACATTTTATTTAGACGTTTTATCGCATCGAATATCGCAATCAAATATTTTATACTCCAGCAACTTTCAAGGGTCAAAGAGCCGGGAACAGTTTTTTCGTTCGGCCGTACGGAACGGAACTGTTATATAGGAAAATAGGCGAGGTTATCACCCGATTTCATCAATTTTTAAAGTGTCGCAGTTTCTACTGTGATCCGCTGTGTCAAATTACAGTTGTATATCTTAATTTAGTGCTCAGTTATGTCACTTTTTAGATTTTCGTTCAATGACGTTTTTTGGGCATGGCAGTGGTGCAATTACGCCCATATAGGAACTCATTCTCCTTCTTTGCCAAGGAACACGTATAGTTTCATCAAAATATCTCAATTTTTACTAAATTTATGGCTTGCACGGGTGGACAAACGTCCAGGCGGATGTAGTGACAGACGAACAGTCACTCGGAATTCAACTCGTTTCGTCAACCTGTCCATTAATACATAACTCTATATCTAACTTCATATTTAAGAGACACAAACAACCATTAGATGAACAAAACTGTTATACTATACTTATGCAGCATATGCAAACGAATTTCATCGAAAAATAAAATTCCATAAATAAAATATTAAATTGCGAACAATATAGAAGGACATTTTTCTTGCGTTAAAAGCAATCAACAAAGAGAGGCCAATACCATTTTTCCCTTTCCAACGCTTTGCCTTATATTATTGTTGAAAAGCCAGAACAAAGCTTGTTATGAAAAGCAAAGCGGTCCCAAAAAAGCTGTGCTTGTTGCTAAGCACAGACAAATTGTAGCCAAAAACAGATGCAGTTTCTTTAGTCTCTCTTCCTCTTTCTCTGGACAATTTGTGTAACATATTTGGTTGCCATAATTTCTTTACTGTTTGATATTAGCGTTTTAGTTAATAAGCTATTATGTTTCTAACTACTTAAGAATATTAATATTGTCATATCTGGCCGCAGGGCGATAAATTCTAAAATTAGAAATAAATTAAATTCAAGTTGAATAAAGTGCGTTAAGTGCTAAAAAAACTAGATATGAGAAAAGTTTGATAGGAAAATCGTTTAGTAGCCTTTCTGAAAAGTGCTTTAAAATTGATTAAAACTATAATTTTTGCAACTTGTGACAAAAATGTGAAATACATAATTTTAGCTTACGTATTTCAATATTTGTTAGCGCAAATATTTGTTTGCAGTAAGCCTAATTGTTAAAATGAAAGTGTGTCCTAATTTCAATTGCCGCAGCATATTGCTACTGCACTTCACAGAAGGTCAAAAGTACCCAACAACAACAACTATGAAAATGTGCCAGTTTCTAGCCACACGTCCAGCAATTTGTCCGTCAATGCCAAAAACGAATTTAAAATTGATTTATGTACAGCGTAGGCTGCGGGAAATATACCATTGAATGTGCTTAGCAAAGCTACTAATAATTGAAAAAATACTTAGGGCAACTAATACAGACGAAAGTACTCTCAGAAGAACTACAGAAATAAATTTTGTTAACAATCAATTCGAAAAATTCGCGGCAGTATCAAAAACCAAAGTAACAAAGAATTTAACTGCCAGCACATTGAGCAAAATTGTTAATGTTCTTGTGATTTGTTGGGATTTTATATAATTTCATTTCGGGAGATTTATGGCAATCATAACTCTCTTGGAATCGTAGGATTTATTTGCGCAAAACCTTTTTCATTTGACGAGATATCTTCACGAAATTCGGTATGGAATATTGTCTAAGACAATGGCGCAATCTTCTAGAAATTCTTCAGAACGGAATACTACCATACAAAGAAATCACTGCTATACACGTTACACGAAGTTACTGTAAGGAAACTTTTGTATTTATATAGGATATTATAGCTTCGGTGCAATCGATGTCAACGTTTTTTTTCTGGTTTTTATTAGTTTTTGGTTAGTTTAATAGAATTAATGTTTTGCAAATTATTTGCATGATTTGGGATTTAATGAAAATGCAAAAAAATATAATATATTCACATTGTGTGGTACAAGAAACTCTAAAATTTTCATGAGCTCTTTTTGGGATGGTCAAATAGAGTCCTTATAAACCGTCAGTCCCTCCGGACCAAATTCATGATATACCTAACCACAAATATTGAAAACAAAACCATGAGTCACACCTTGATTTTTTAGCGGGCGTGGCGTGGGTTTGTTTTGTTTTCCTCCCTTCCGATGATTGTAGTCTTATTTATCAGTTGAAGAGGTCGAAGGTCATCCAGAACGACTTCAACCCGTAGGCTTGTGTGTTTTAAAACTGAATCACCGAAAGCCTTTTCAGACATTCGCAACGATTTCGCGCACGAAATTTTATTAGAAATACAAAATTGGATACAAAATTTTTGTTCGATATTTTTATCCATTGTAAGAATCGCGTAAGAATATATTAACTGAGAAAAATATGTTAAATACAAGGTCCAGTTATGAGGTAAACGAATAAACAAGACATCACATGCTGGTTGGTCGGGGAAATATCTACTATTGCGATGTATTAATCTGTCGAAAATGTGTTTGTAATTAGCGATGCGAGAGATATTGCAATAAATATTAAAGGATGATTTTTTTTGCTCTCTTTATGAATTTATCTAAGCTTTTCTGACATTAAATGGTTGGATATTATTTTGGATTGGCCATTTATATATCCATTGACCATTATATATCCATCAATACCGAACAACAGACGATTGTTAGTTTCGATCTGTTTGACGAACGAAAAGTTTTTGTCATCATCTCATATTGAATCACCAAAACATTTGAATTTTGCTAGTTTTGCAATAAACTAATGAAATGTTATCATCCAAGTATAAGCTTTTGGTAGAATGTGCCTTATTTTTTTATACATCCTTACACCATTCGACCAACTCCTTACACATTTATTATCACAAAGTTTCTGCCAAGTTCCTGTTTGTCTACTGTAATCTCACCGATTACAATAAAATTGTGTTAACTTAATGTTTACAAATTTGAAACGAAAAACCAAACTTTCTCATTTTCAATTTATAATAACTTCGAATTGTACCATATATTACATCTTTGGCTTGACGAATCTGGAAAATTATTTTGTAATTATTCAGACGAATGGAATACAAACAGTTTCTGCTGGAGATTTGAAGATAATTAAATATTTTTTATTTTAAAAGATTTTCAGTTCAACTATGCAGCTACACCGTAGCCGTGGTAATACCCTTCACAGGACAGTTTGTATAAGAGCTATATGCTATAGTAGTCCGATTTCTATCGATCAGTTTGTATGGCAGCTATACTATGCTATAGTAATCCGACATTTTTTTTTTGGCTTAGGTAATAATCCGTGTTGAATTTCATGCAGATATATGATGGTTAAGTGTATATATTAACTACATTCTATAATTAACCAATATCGGCAGTTCTGACAAATAAGCAGCTGCTTGAGGAGAAAAGAAGAGTGCAATATTCGAAATCGATTTATATAACTGTTTATAATGATTTGGGGAAATTGTGATCGAACTCAGTTGATAACTATTAGTAATATAGTTCTAGTCAATAATCACAGCACATTTAAGAAATGATTTCCATTTTAAAATCAAAAAATAAAACGTTACGATTGGCAAATGGATTCTGAAATTATAATATGGAAAATAGTAATCATCTAAGTAAAATAAAATTATTAGAAACTCAGATAAGTCCACTTTTTTACGGATGGAATATTAAAATTTTCGATATATTATTTTATAAGTCGATCCATTATGAATTTCTTATTTTGTCAATTCAATTGAAATATGTTATAATTTCTTATGATAGGATGCCAAAGTATTATTAATTAATGTGTTAATTATGTATGTGCACTTAAATGGCTCTAAGGTTAATAATATATATAATAACAAACATATGTATATATATAACCGTGATAATAAACATCTACACAGCGCTGTAAACAATACGGCGATTTGTCTTGATAAATTTACGTTGTTTTCTAATGGTAGTGTCAACAAACCATAACCACTCCCAGTACACACTCGCACTAAATTATTCGTGCCCAAACATCGCCGACGGCCATATTGCGGTAGAAACAAGGCAACTTTGCAGAAGTGCTTGAGGTGGGCACTTTTCTCAACAAACATAAATAAAAAATCAAAACATTTTGATTTTGACACAGTTAATCGATTTTTTCAGATTTTTTGCTTTTAAATCGTGTAAATTAATCAAATTTATGAGCAACATTAAAGGACAATGCACAAAGAAAACTTTATCAATAAAGCACTTGAAGGGCGTTTAATGCCATACAATCGTACTACAATCACTTTTGCGACAACAATCAAATTCGTTTACGCCTTTACTATTCACTGACACTTCGTGGGGCAACTAACCAACCATCGTGCACTTTCACACAAACTCGCTGACTTTAGTTCTTTAAAGAGTAAGATGCAGCCAACTCCTTCCGTACTGAGCACTTATTTGCACACTCAAGGTTTTCACGTTCACTGCACTTCGCCGCCAGTTACTGATAACGTGTCATCTTAATTTGTCCGACCTGACAACACACACACACACACAACTATGATTTAAGGAGTAATTTTCCGTAGGGCAATTTACAAGTAAAGCCGGTCTGCCAGCGTCAACGCTAAAGGGACTACTAATGGCGATGCTGTCTGTCATCTTGCCTGATGTCTTTCTTCTATCTCCTTGGGTCGCTCTTTCACTCAGCAAGGTAGAAAAGTAGCAGGTGCAGCAGAGCATGCGCGCTCTTTATTTGATTGTAGGTAAAGCAGTTCTACAGAATTAAATTCCATGCTCTCCTAACTCTTAAAGGTTGTTATATTTCTGAACTAATGTTGTATCTAAATATCAACCGTTTGTAAAGTGTGAACTAATTTCTATTTTAATTTACTAAATCATACATTTTTTCTCTTTGGTTTGGTACATCACTCATAATTGCTCTCTTCTGGTGTTTTTCTTCTCGTCTATCTGTTGATTCTTGATACGAAGTCGTACCTGGCCGACTCTGCGTATAAGCAATGGGGAGTGACTGTTAGTGCCAATTTGTCATCAACTGTTCCAAAATTAACATACATATTTATGTATATACAAAACATACATATGTATGTACAAAAGTATTCATTTACTTCTGATGTGAGAGATATGTGTTAATATTTTTTAATTTGCATGCCACACACCATCGACAATGCTTTTTGATAACTGTACAATGGAAAAGCTATTGTGTTTATTAAACTCACACAAATGAATCCTTACAATAGCGATATGAATTGTGAGCGTAATGGGCTTTTCAGGAAGAATATATTTCTTTTTGTATTTGTGTATAAAAGGCATGCTCAAGGGTAAATGCTTGACAGTGAAGCACTACCTTTGCAACATCCGAACATTTGATCGAAAATTGCGGAAAGTATTGCAGCCGAATTAGAACGTGATTGATTTTAATTGGTCAGTTTAAAAGACGGCTATGTGCTATAGTGATTCACAATTAACTTTATCATTTGTGCTTTCAAAGTTTCTTGATGAAATTGAAACATTTCGAATGCAGTAATTTGAGGCTAGTTCCATTCTCTCTTTTCGAGTGCCAAAACACATGTTTGTCAACTATCGAATTCGGTGTTTCAATTTGAACTTGATTTTGAAAATGACATGGCGCTGACAATATTTAGCAGCATATTGTAAACTCCAATGTCAACGGTTTTCTCAAAATGTATGTATATAAATTTATGTACTAAAGGCGACAATATAGAATTTAAATTTAAATTATGGAGTTATATTATGGACATGCATAACTCAAAAGAAGAATCGAATATGGAAGCAAGTGATGTCTTATTAACGACCGATCCAAGAAGAGGTCAACATAATCAGCCTACTGAGCGTACATCATCACCCATCTTGAGATCTGTCATTGATAATTGGATAATATTCGACCGAATAAACCACGACTAGCACGCAGTGAAGAAAATATATCAGCCAAAGCTGAGAGTGTACACTAAGAGCATGGAAAGTAAATTTTTGGCCGTTCACAGCGACTCGGACTGACTTATGGGACGACTTGGCGCAGTTTACGTCGAGTTCTTAAACTAAAAGCGTACAACATACAAATTTTGAATGAACTGAAGTCGCTCGACCTTCCCAAGCGACATCGGTTCGATCTATGGGCTCTTGAAAAGTTTCAAGAAGATCCGACGCAAAATTTTGTTCAGCGATGAGGCTCATATCTGGATTAATAGGTATGTAAACAAGCAAAATTGCCACACTTGAGACAAAGAGGAACCTGAAGATTTTATCCAGAAAAAACAACAATTTAGTGTGGCTTGTGGGTCGCTGGAGTCATCGGTCTACAATTCTTTAAAAATGATGCCGGTGAGAACGTAACTGTTAATGGTCACCGTTATCGTGATAACCGAGTATTTGATGTCTAAAATTGAAACTCAGGTTCAACAAGACGGCGACACGTCCCACACATCGCATCAATCAGTGTGAGAACACTTCGGTAAGTAGACAATTTCTCGTTTCGGGCCTGTCGATTGGCCAACAAGATCATGTAATATCACACCGTTAGACTTTTCCCTGTGGGGATATGTAAAGTAAAAAGTCTATACAGACAATCTAGTTTCGATACAGGCATTGGAGCAAAACATGACGGGTGTCATTCGCCAGTTATCAGAGTTGCTTGAACGAGTCATCGAAAATTGGATAAAAAAGATATGTGAAAGAGTGCTCTTTCAAATGATAATAAACATTCCCCATTAGATTTGAAGTCTCTGTTTTTTTTTTCATTAAACAAGTAGGAAGATTTATTGCAAATACAAATACTTAAGATTTAATCAATTAAAATCAAAGCAATCAACCAAGTAATTTAAAGGGCAGTATAAAATGAAAATGGCCAAGTTCGCTGTTTTCAGGATGACAACAACCTTTCCCTCAGCTCTCAGTTTGGTTTCAGATACATTGAAGTAACTACTTCATAAAATTATAATTCGCCTTACTTTATATTTCATAAAGCATTAGACATACATTTAGTACTTACTTCTTAGTATATATGTAATTTCAGCATGTAAACAAATGTGTGATTTTTTAAAATAAACAAATGCTACTACTTAGAAAAGATAAATATCAAAAGGCTTGATACAATTATAATACACATGAGTAAATACTCGTTTATTAAGTAATATAATATAATATATACGTATATGTGTACATAAATGTTTGAATTAATGGATTATTCGGACATTACTGCCTATAAATGTACGAACCAATTAAACACACTAATGCGCTAGGCCACAAGCGCTGATTATACATGGCAAGTAACTGATTTAGTCGAAATTAATAGAGTTCAACGAGCAGTTAAATCATTATGAAGCTGTAAAAGTGAACAATCGCAATTCTGTATTGTTTTACAAACCCATGTAAATCCATATGTATATATCTTATTGTATAGCAAATTTTATTTTATTTCATATATGTAATAGAATTATGGACTGTAAGTGACCTCCATGCTCAGCCAATCATATGCGACATCTAATTAGAAAATTATTCATTGCGGCCTGAAGGGTTGAATTGAGTATTGCCTCAATTATCGCTTTAATGGACTGTTTCAAAGCAGACACATTTTAGGGTTTTGTATTGTACTGGGGGTCAGCGGATTACTTGATTTTATTTTGTTTTCAAAATTTCGCAATAACCGGTCTTGCTATGCGAGCAGTTGCTCCATCTTGCTAGAGACAAACGCTATGGAAATGAATAAGTCTTCGGCCAATTCTAGGTAAAAACCTTATTATTTTTGGCAAAATTCCAGCTGAATATGTAAACCGATAAGGTTTACCCGGTGAACATGTGCGTTGGGGCCAAGGAGTGCTACTTAATACCTATTATAAATACATACAAGGTGCTTTCCAAAGTAAACAGGACTTTTTGCATCCAGCGCTTCCTGGTGGCGTCATCTATATGTTGACTAGTGCGTTAGAATTTGCTGTCTTTATTGATTGTCCAGTCCGAATTTCATGACATTGTATTGATTGGAAGTGAAGTACCAAAATGGGCTTCGAACAAAGAGCCAATTAAATATTTTTTTTAAGTGGCAAAACTTTTACCGAAACATTTCAATTGATGAAACAAATTTATGGCGATGATTGCCTATCCCATAGCAGAGTGCACGAGTGGTTTCAATGCTTTCAAAGTGGTCGTGAGGATATAAATGACGATCAACATGTGTGCCAATCAAAATCCGTGATCACCGGAAATTCCATCGAAACTGTGAGTGAATTCATCAAAAATCAGCCGAAATCATCACTGAAATTCATGGAAATCGAATTGAAAATCTTCAAAACATTGATTTATCGCATTTGACCGAACATTTGGGTTTAAAAAAGGTGTGTGCACGGGTTGTTCCGCACAAATTGATGCGCACAAAAAATGCTCAGAATCTAACATTCGAAGGACACCTTGTGACCGATTATTTGACCAAAAAGCGCATTTCAACCATTAACCACTCGCCGTATTCACCTGACATGGCACTGTGCGACTTCTTCCTTTCCGGAAAAATCTATTTGCCCATGAAAGGAAAGCGTTATGCAGACGTAGAAGCCATTCAAATGCCTTGCACCGGCATACTGGCGGTCATTCCGGCCAACGAGCTGAAACAAAAGCTGTATTGAAGCAAAAGGAGACTATTTTGAATCAAATAAATTGATTTTGGCGAAAAAATCATTTCTTGTGATTTTTTTTCAAAGCCCTGCTTACTTTGGAAGTCCACTAATATTAAATATCTATTTTCAAATATATTGAACATACATATATGCATATACAAACAAATTCATAAAAATATATGCATTTATAACTCACATACACTCAAATTTACAACTATACAAAACAAATTTACTTAGATTAAGATATATACATTCGACAACCTATTGATAAGATATACACTTAGGCAATGTACTTGAAAACCCGGCTTATTATTTAAACTTTGTAAGGAAACAGGTTTAAGTCATTATGAATTATCCTTTGTAATGACCGTTTGCTAACTCCAAGTTACGCTGCTCAACTGCGAGTTAAACCCATTTGTTATTTTGGATTTGCCAGATCCGCGATTGTTTCTTGAACACTAACAAGCGGATCTCCATGGTGCGGTCTTCGTGCGGAACTTCCAGATTCAGCAAACATGTTTACCAACCTTATAATGATCCATCTACAGGGGGGGCTGTGCAAAAATCCCCTCTGAATTCCCTTAGGACGGAAATGATGGACTGCAAAGCATGTTACTGCTGCATTATCTATATCCCAAGCAATCATTAAAAACAAGAACAAATGTTACCTTTAGTTCCACCGATGCTAAATACCCTTTACAGGTGCATTTCTTTTAGTAACTATGTGTTCAGTTTATATGGAAGCTATATGGCTATATGGCTATAACTTCGTGACAAATTTAATATACCCTGTTCAGGGTATAAAAATAATAACCAGCCAAATAAAAAAAGAAGTAAGTCGATTACACGCACAGAATTGTAGATATTACGGTAATCAATTATATTATTCTGTATAAAAAAAAAAAATTCATATTTATAAACATTATAAGTTGTAGTAAAAAATATTTCTATGCACACACATACCATTTTTGTATACCA